TTTTACCACACAAAAGCCGGTCACATAACGCGTTGACAGGGGATATAACATTTCTGTTGCCATAATAATAATAATTATATTCAAATGTGTACCACAATAGTTGTTAACGGTGAATTTATAGCACGCCAACGTTACTTTGTCTGAAGCGACTGCTAACTTTTGCCGTTCACGAAACGATGAATAATTGTGCTCGGACAGTTAAAGCTGAAACTTAAAACCCGTCGTGGTTTTTGAGGTTTATTTAGGTTACAATTTGCTAAGGGCAACGGAATCGGCTTGGAGGAAACGAGCAGGCAGACTGAGAGAAACCAAGGTGAGAGACATATTCGATAAAATAAGGAAGCCGGAACAGGATTTTCGGAAATGAAATCCGTTGGCGCAAACTTGATTGGAACTCGGACGTAGAAAAAATAAAAATAAATGTGCAATTAAACCGAAGGAAAAACACAGCGCTACGAAAAGTGTTGGACCGAAGACAACGGCAATAATATTTTAATTGGATAAAAAATTTATCGCAAGAGATACAAAGAAAAATACAACATTCTAGTCAAACCGTCACATCTACAAACAAAGATGTCCCGGTAATAGTACCTTTTATAATCATCATTAAAAAAGAGACAAGAATCGTTTCACCGTTTTGTCATAATACAAGTGTTAAGCGACAGATCTCGAGTTCCAAAAGCTTCAATCTTACATCAGTTGCATCATATTAGCCCTTTAAAATAAATTCAAACGGTTTACTTTGTACTATTATATTTTGTAATTTAATAAATTATGATTGTTAGTATTTAGTAAAAATCAAAAACTATCAGTTTGATTCGAAATTTGTAAACACTACCTCTCAATTAGTACATATTTTTATCTTTTGATTTATTCCTGGAATGCGTTAGATATACATTTCATTTCGTCGTGTTCTAGTTAAAGGTCTTACATTTTTCAATGTACAAAACATTTTTAATCTTTAAGAACGATTATAATCAAATACGGAAGCTCATTGTTCTTGTTCCGGTCTCCAGACATCTATTTTCATGATGTATGACTTTTGTATGTCTTAAATAATTATTATTATAGAAAACTTTATAATAATAACAGATAAAATCCGTTATGTTCATCATTTTTCCTTTTATACTTCATGAAAATTGACCTCATTCAGGTTATTTGCTTTTGTTAAAGCTTTTAACAGTCTTATTAAAAAAAAAAATGTAATTTAATTGCACGTTGTTTTCAGATAATTAACAATAAACTTTTCTACAAATACATAATATAGTCGACCTATTATTTTTTTATGTTGAGTTTAGTATAGTAACATTCTTCATAAGTACAAGAAAAGTAGAGTAACAAGTCAATTAATCACGTTTTAAATAAAACTTTAGTACAACAGTTTTTCTCTAAAAATTATTTGAAAATGTTGATTTTTATTTTTTCAATAATTCACTATCTTAGGTTTATATAAATACTAGGTAATATTATTATAATTTATAAGTATCTAAAACGCTTTTATTTTTTCAGCTGTAGGTAAGTTTGAAGTAAAACAAAGTTTTAGGTATAATATTATTGTATTTGGCACTAAACACTCATACTGTCAACCCAAGTCGTTTATCAGAAGTTTTCTTTTTTATTTGATCGTTAAATAGAGAACTACTTTCACAACAATAACACCATTATTTGAAACTTGTAAAATTAAACTAGACATTTTTTTGCTTTATACCCGTCTCAAGTACCCAACTACGTTGTTTTTAACTTTTTTCTATATCATGATAGAGTTTAACATCTACAAAACTAGATATCAATTTTCAAGTATAATATATTTAAAATGTTCCTTTATTTTTAAAACAATTAATATTGGTAACAATTTGTTTTTTATATTTTACAAAAATACATAAAAGTTAATTCGTGTCTTTATTGGGATTATTATTTTTTAAGTATTTATTTAAAGAATAGTTTTCACTCCCTCATCAATTTTAACTGTAGTCTAAAAGCGCTTTGTACTTAATTTGAATTTAAAAAAAAATTCTCTCAAACGAAGCACCAGATTCGCCAGTGATGGACTTTTGGAAAACCGATCAATAATTTAAATAAAAAATGAATGGTCTATTTTTTCGTTACAAGCCAGTTAAAGACAAATTTGCGTTAATTATTACACCCACAAATTATTTATAACTAGCCAATTGTAGTAACAGACTAAATTATTCAATCTATGACCCATTCATAAAACTAATCAAGATCACTCCGTATAATTTGAATCCTATTATTTTTTTTATTATATTGCAATTTCACTACTTACCAGCAATAAAAAAACTCTTTTGTTGCCAAGCAAAAATAATTATTGTTTCCATCTAATTGAATTAAATTAAATATAATCCAATAGCGTAAAGAAAGAGTAAGTGCTTTTTAAACACATAAGACAAAAAACATAATCTATGATAAGCTCGTTAAGTCTTATTTTAATTAATTTGAGTTGAGTCTGTAAGTTTGTTTGAACATTTTTTAGGCATACCACAATTTGCCAATATTTTCCAAGCAAAGTTAAATTGATAACTAATAATACATTTTAAATGAGCGACTGTAAAAACATAAATTATATCTATTTTGAAGATAAGAAGGTGTTGGTTTTTAATTGTTATGTGTGTGTGTGTGTGTTTTTTTGTATTAATACTGTCCAATTTGTAAAAATTGTAAAATTTCTGTTGGATTAAAATAAAAAAACTAGTTTTATAATAACAATTCTAAGACTCTTTATAAGACTATAGCGCCTATTATTCTTCATGCGAGCAACTGAGTGAAAAGTAATAGATTTTTTTTTGAAAAAGTAATAGAAACAAATACATTAGTATTGAACTCATAAAACATACTTGTTTATACATTCGAACTGGGATGGAACGCAGCTTGCAGCAAATTGTTTTCGAGTGTAGCACTTAAATAAGTATACAGCAATCTCGATTTAATGCTGGAATAATACCTTGCACGGAGTAGGTACTCAACGTTTTCTCAAGTCAAAAACATAAGAGATCCCGACTTGATATTTCCCCTGATACTACCATTGTGTCCTTTCCATTATGTACAACTCATTTGTGTTTCAATGATGACTTTTTATAGCATAAATAGTAATTGATTTTGCTTTGCCGATGCATTGCGAATATTTTTTCTCTGCAAAGAGATAAACCGATCCCCGTTGTTTAGTTTATGCGTTTTAATTATGACATGATTATGGCCGTTTAAATTTAAGACTTTTGTTTAAAAAAAAAAAAACCATTATTTTCATTCTGCCAAGAAAAAAAAATTGCTATTAAACGAATGAACTTAATATCAAAATAAATCAAGATTAATGATCTCTGTTAGTGGTTAGCCGAGGTCGGATTGTACTGTGATTTCTTTTTGAAATAATATTATTAATAAATAAATGGAGTGTTAGAAACGATAAAAGTTTGTTTGAAATAACTTGCATTTGTTGTTACACCTTTTCGTTGTACTACTGTGATAAGCAGCAGTACTAACAAAAATAATATATATATAAAATGAACTATGAGATAAAGTAAAATACGGTTTTATATATGAAAACAGGTTTTGAGACGATCGAAACATCTCCTTCTGTGGAAGTATTTTTTCATCCACAATATCCTCACTTAACAGAGCATGAAATCGGACGTCATATTTAAACACATTATAACACTTGGACTCTTCGACCCTTCCAACACAAATTGATTTTCGCTTCTTTTTACTTTAGTTTGATTTGAAGGCTACAACAAGATAAAACTCTCATCCTACTTCGACAGTCTTACAATTTTCTCAAGCCTAGTACAGTTGTTTGTACCTAATGTTAAGGTTTTCAAACAACGCCATGATCACAGCTCATTACTATGTAAATCTATTATTGAAAACAATATAAAGAGTGATTCAATAACTATGAACCAATCTTAAAAGATATCGGATATTTTTTAATATTATTCTTTTTCATACTTTCGCAATAATATTTTAAAGAAATTAAAATTTGGTAAACTTCCAAGTGTAAAAGTACAAAAAAGAATAATTTTAAGTAGTGTAATATTTTCTAAGATATTGACCGATTCATAGCTAGTGAAACACCTTGTATGATGGTCAACGTGACTTTTGTACAAGCGTGTAAAGAATTTGCATATCCAAGGCGCCGGTCTTATATTTGTGGTTATATATATAATAAAAAAGTTCAATTATTGGTTTTGTATATAAATACTGAGCAGATCGATATTTTTTTTTTATATAAAATTAACTTACTTTTATTTTTTTTTTCGTACAAGTCAATGATGTTCATTCAATTTTAAAGAAAATCATAAAACAGGTTAGTCGAGATCGAAGCCAATAATAATGATAAGAGTATTTTTTAATACATTTTTTATACATTTTCAAAAAAAATCTACCATCGAAATTTTGCAACTAAAATCAACGACTGAAATTTTCTGGTTAACAAATCAAATTATTTAAACGATAAGTTGTGTACAATATGTGAATCGCCTAATCAAAAAGTGAAATAAGTCATAATTTTTACGAAAATGATTTATTTGGCGGCAAACAATTTCGTATAATGTAACAGACAAGTTTGTCTATCAAAAGAAACAAGTTAAAGCTTTAAAACCTATAAAATATGCTTCTTAAAATCACGTTTATTCATGAAAGTAATTAAGCCTAATATAATACTACTATTTTAGGTACAATTAAACGTGTCGATAATAAAGTGTTTTGAAATACATTTTTTTTTATTCACGAGCACCTAAACGAGTAGTTAAAAAATGTAAAAAAAAAAGATCAAACGGTTCCAATGCAAAAAGTAGGAGTTTTTAGCATTTTCCACGTTTTTCACCTAGACTAAAACGGTTTTTTTTTTTTGTTTTACTGACTTAGGTGACTCCCTTTCTCGAATAAGCGATCCGTGTTACTAGCAAATAATTAACTAGAGGCCGTTAAATCCATTAAAGTATCTGTTTTCAGAGTTGTTTTTTTTTTTTTTTTTTTACAATATCACTTACCCAAGCACCGACGGTGACGACCAGGAGTACTCTGAGAACACTGTGGTATTTATTTTCAATTATTATGTGCCGGCGGCGGCGGCGGTAACGCGAAGTCCGGTGAACGCGTTAGCGTCAACATGTGTCCGTCCTGAAACTGAAGAGCACTTAAAAAGCTTAGGCGCCGACAAACCGAGGCATACCCCCAAAAACCGTTCCCTATCGCCTACCGTCGCCGCTGGTTCGTCCTGTGCGCCTGCCGTCCCTGTATTCACTCCTCAGTAGGTGTACCGGCGAATCAAATTATTGTTCGGCTATAGAAACTCAAATTTGCCCCTTATCCCGTACCACGTTTAACGTGAGACTCACACAGCCGGTTTCACCAACATTTGTTAAGAATTCAACTTGTTGTTAGTTACACTTAACAACTAGTTAATGAAAATTGCGTTTCGTCGAGATTCGTTAGCCTTAACACATTGTCAAAACCATTGTTGAATTAATCACCCGAAATCGGCTTGTTAAGCATATATTGCAGTATTTATATGTATAATATTTATATTATTATAGATGAATTACACGTTTAATGAAGATCTTCTTTATATTGAGTGTTTAGAGAACAATAGAAATGACAACTTTAATAACCCTTCATTAGGTAAGCAGGAGTTATTTTATGTAGGTTAGGTAAAAAGGAATGGCACAGACTTGCATTATAGTTTCAAGTATCATAATTTATTGTATTTTATAATTTAGCTAATATTATTGTCTTGCCTGTCTTGAGTATAACAATGGAAATAATTCTTATCACTTCCTAATTTTTTTTTTAGGATTTCAAAATGGAAAAAATTATTTGAATGACCTTGATGACAAACAATTTTTATAAAGGTAAAGACTATCTAAACAATGTGTCAAAAAATTATGTATAAATTACTTATAAAAACCGAAACGTTAAAAGAAAGTAAAACAAAGTGTCAAGTATTAACAAACTGACAATCACTTATCAGTTATCACATTTCTAATAACCAATGAGAACGTTGGAATCGAGGTAACCGCTTTGGTAACCCAACTAACGTTTTGTTAACTTAACAAATATAATTTAACAACACTAATGTTATGGTGAAACATACGTGGCTTATAATTGATTTGATTTAAGAATCGAGTCCTTTCGCCAAAATCCTTAATCATTAATAATAATAAACTTTTGTTTAATAAGTATATTATATATATATATTTTTTTTTTAATTAAAATGTATCAAAATCTTACATGTTCTTACAAGTTAGTTAGTTTTAAGTGTATGTAAAATATTTTACATGTCAAATTTTAAAATACATAGTAAAACTAATAAGATAATAAAATATGTAATGAATAGATGACAACTTATGTAAGATAACTAGAACTAGCCTACTCGGAATTTCATGTGGAAATTAGGAAAGTTATTATATTCCCTTTTCACTAACGTAACTAAAAAAGTATAATTATTTTGACTTATCTCATTTCGCTATTATAAAAATCATAGATTTTACTCAAATTATTTCTATGGGTACATGGAAATCTTAAAGATGAATTTTGTTTTTATACGTTTTTTCTTTCATCTCACATCGAGAACAGTTAGACATCGTTTAACTGATGATACATTTTTGATACAACTATTAAAAAAAGTCATTACAGGGACATAGTGGGGATGGAACCTAACCTAACCTTACGGCTAAAAAACACAAAAATAGCTCACATCATTGTAAAACCAATAGCATCGAAGCTAAAACGAATCAAATTCAAACGAAAATATCATGTAAAATTTAATTTGACATTTATTTGCATAATAGAGTTACGGTCTACTGGAGATAATGACCGTCCAGAACCGGGGTTTGAGTAAATACTTCAGGGATTACAATCGGTTTAAATGCTTAAACTTGAAGTGTAGTACGGGTAAATACCGGACGAGTAGTTTGCCCAGAAAGAAGGCATTGAACTAAACTTTTTCTTGCATGTACGTTTAAATATAAGCTTCTTGAACAGTAGTAAGTTTCTCAAAATCCGCATTTTCTTCATGAAATCATCTTGTGTTTATATGGGACATTTATAAGTCTGAAAACAATTATAAAATCTCACTATTGACCTCTCATCCTATTTTGACATTTCAGAAATCTCAGAAAAATTTAGGTAATAAATAACAATAATTTAACATAATGAATTATTAGGAGAGACATACGACAACCCTAATCATAAATTATTGTCTTTACAGTGATATTGTCGTTGCTTAATATTTCTGCCACTCAAAATAGACAAAGTAGTAATCAATTTGTATAATATTAATTAAACGTGTATGTTATAGTTTATATGTATGTTTATTATGATAATTCGTAGTTTAATTATTCGGTGTGCACGAAACCTAAATCTAAATAGTAATCGTAGATGGCATTTTTAACGAGCTCTTGGACTTGCATCCCAAATTGATACATGATATCCTTTCTTTTTTTTTTTGGACACCTTTTTTTAAATTTCTTTATTAGTAGTTTGATGTCCTGTTTGTCTTTCGTTGGAAGCATGCAATGTTTACGTACAAACGGTTTCAACCTAGAGCTATTTCTGCGATTAATGGCAGTGGTCAATCTAAAGGAATACCGAATAACTTTTAAATTGTGGTCATCGTCTTGTTTACCTGTATATGTTGGAAAAAGGAGTTTTAAATTCATCGGTATATCTTTGTACCACTTTACTAATTCTAATAATTTTTTTACGTCTACTACGTTAGGGTATAAAACCTTTACTTCCTTTACCGGAATTAAGCTGTTCAAATAAACTAACGCATCATACATGCACTCGAACATCGGTTGACTGTCCAATAATTGTCGATAAGTAAAATCAAAAATGTCCCAAGTACTTCCATAGTCAGTCGAATGGCCTGAAGGCGGTACACGATCATTTTCTTCGTCGTTGACAATGTTCTGTTCGCTTTCTTTCTCGTCTTCCGAATGGTCGTTTTCATCGTGTTGCACTTTGGTCATATTTTCCAGACGGGTTTTAACTATTCTCTTGCGCTTTTTACATTTATAATATGCTCTCTTTCGCGACGATTCTCTGTCGTTACAATTCAAATCTATAAGGTTGTTAATTAACTTTGTAAATGCGTCTGTCACGTCCGCATATGCACATGCTAGCAAATTAGTGACCATGTAGTGTTTTTTACACACATTATCCACACAAACGTCAGAATTGCCAGTGTTGTTCGCACGCGAGTACAAACCTCTGGAAACGAACAAATCCTTTCCTGAAAACGAGACCAACCCGTTTGGGAAATCCGGATGTTTAGCTTTTACATCGACCATCCGTGCCCATTGTTGATGGCCTAATAGTGCGGTAAGTACGTCGGACAGACTTTGTTTTGCTGCGTTAGATGCAAATGTTCGTTTACTGTTATAGGATATTACACAAAAAAAGAACAACGCGATTGACACTTTGCCCGACATTTTATTTAGGCGAAAATCTGTGTACTGAACTTTAGAATGCATACTGTTCAAAGTGCTAGTTTGCATGTAAAGAACACCATATTGTTTATAGAGCACTACGCCGTACAGCTATACACACTTGTTTACAAAAAAGCAAAACAATAAAATAATAATAATGTCATAAGTCATAACATAGTGATGTTTTTTAATAGATTTTCCAACTTAAACAGCCCATTAGCAGGTAGCCACAAACTCAACAACGAAAATATTATGTCAAATTTCAACGGACATTTATTTGCAAAAAATCATAATTTTAAAACGAAAAACCGAAATAAAATGTATTTTTTTATTAAGTTTCAAATGGGTGTTAGGTCAGGTGAATACAACCGGCGCGGCTTAAACGGTTTGTTTAAGACAATTATTTTGGTTTTTAAGATTTTCCTTGTCGAATGTTGTTTTTCCAAACGTTGTTATTATTTTATATTTTTGCTCTCGAAATAAGGAAACACGTACATTTGTTTTTGACGTTAAGCAATAAATGATACGAAAAATCGCATGGGAATTCCTTTTCATTTTTTTCTTATTCTTAATGCTTTAGCTCAGTGTCGCCAAGAGGTTTTCATGAATCTGAAAATGATTAAACGCCATATAAAATAGTCATATTTCGTTGTCGCCAGCTGACAGTTAATAAAATGAACTATAGCAACAAAAAAAAAAAATAACATGTTTATTATTGTTTTTAATATTAATATATTTTCACATTACAAATAGCGATCAACAGTTTCGTTTTAACAATTGAAAGCAGCATGATGTAATGAAAGTAATGCCCAGCCAATAACCATTTTTTGAGTAAAAAGCAGTCTAGAAAATATTGCAAAGGGTCAATATGCACGAAACACACTGTTTAATAAATATGAAAATTATATTTATCTTATTACTTTGCGAAAGGTAATCAAGTTCTAAATTTAGAAAATACGGCAGCTATTCAAATTAAGTACATTTATTTGGAAACAGCATTAGTATATATGTTTGTTCTCACTGGAATTGCGTTTATTCTCTTTAATGTAAATATTTGTTGAAATTAAAATATTTCCACTTAAATTTTCAAACTTTTAGTTTTGATATTGAGAAGGTCATATGAGTTTAAAACAATTCACAAATTTGGTTTTATTAATTAGTCGGTTATAACAATAGTAGCGTTGAGTTAACTTAATAAAAAAAAATTGTTTCACCAAAGTCGACACTGTATGCACTCTTTAATTAAGGTGGAATTTTGCTTCTATGTTTTTGAGATGATATATTATAAACGCATTACGGTTAAATTGACAGTTTGGCTGTACAATAAAATATTATATCATTATGGCTTTTGTGTGAAACTGACAATAGAAACCAAACACTAGGTATTTTTTAAAATACTACCCATTTTATTTTCAAATATTGACAAATGTTTTATATTTCTACATGTTTTTTGTTTAGCGTTGAAGCTAAAAAATTAGTTCAATAATAATAGTGTACTATTCATATGAGTAGTAAAAAAAAATGTTTTTAAATTATATAATTTGATTTTTTTGGTTTTCTATTATGTTAGAGTATATTTTTCCAAAGCTACAAATACAAAAAAAAAAATAATAATAATAATAAAATATTATTTGATCTTTAAAACACTATTGAATGAAAATTTACGAAATTATTATTTTCATAGTATGAGTATACATTTTTAATTTATGCTAGACGGAATATGACTTTTTTCCCGTTTAATATTTTTTATTTATTCATTCATATTTTGTTTGCCTACTTTGTATTGAAACTAACGATTGGGTTAAAAAATGTCCAAGCTTTATTTGTGGTATTTTATTCATAAGATTGATGGCCTACAATACACTAGGTACCTATTTTAAGAGCGAGTGGGCGTCGTTTAATATCAATTTTGTGTTTAAAAATATATTCCAATTTTAATACACTTTCATCAATTTCATATTACAGGTATCATATTAATGTACATACATGGTTTTATTGAATTTCACAGTACCGCGAGCGCCATCTCTTGCAGTGCAAAACTTTTTGAAAAACCATAATATAAAAACATTTCATCTGCTAACACCCAGATAGAGATTTCTGTATACTACAAAACTATTGCATTTTTGCATTTTACATATTACATATATATTCTTGGTGGTTAATAGTAAACATAAAATTGTATTTAATTGAAACAATAAGCTATACATCTTACTGTGTGTTACCGAGTACAAAATATATGCGTTAAGAACACTTTAAGTAATAATTAAAGAGACAGTATTTTAAAAACTATGGTTCATGATTAACTATTACATTGTAAATTACAGAATGTTACATTTAACGTAGTACACTTAAGTCTGATTTCACCAACATCTATCTGTGTATTGTTATCACTTATCAATTATCACATTTTAGAATAACGTTGGAATCAAGGTAACCGCTTTGGTAACCCAACTACCATTTTGTTAACTTAACAAATAGAATTTAACAATAATAATGTTATGGTGAAACTTACTTAATTTAACCAGATGTTAAATTCATTTGAATTGCTAACTAACATTATGTTAAGAGTGTATTTAATAATAGTTGGTGAAACCGGCTGTAAGTGTAATATCTTAAAATATCCGCGATTTTTTTTTTATATGCTTTTAAACTTTCTTATGTTATTTTACAATATTATTATATAATAATAATAACTTTTTTGTAATTTGCTTAATTAAATAATTGAAATTTTGTAGTTCTTCTGTTTGTAAACATTATTTATGTTATTTAACAATACTATGAACTACATAAATACTTACCCTTTTTGGTATTGTCAGAGCTCTATCAACTTATGAAACTTAAACGGTATAAATGTATATACTTAATTAGTTTTTTAAAATTAAGATTGCATTGCTGAAAATGGTGGTCTATAATTAGTTTCCGTGTAAAAAATTGCAATTATAATTTCAAGAGAAAATAAATGTCTCATCCTTATTGAATCGCCCTGTGCTATTTTACATATTGGACCGTTAATGATTTATTTACTGTTTTTAATATTGTTGCCAATGCCAATAATTGATACAAAACAAAAATGTCTAAGTATTTAATTTTTTATTATTTTATAAAGGTTTTTTTTGCATTAAAATACAATTGTGTAAGAATCATTTAGGATTAGATGGTAAGTTTGTTTTAAAGCGATAAATTCACATGATATTCGTTGGACTTAAGGATTCCGACAGAGTAGAAGTGTTTGAAGAAAGAGAAGAATAGTCGTTTCATTTAAATTTTGTTAATATATTAGCAAGACAATTTGATTTATATACATTTTAAATAAAATAATTCACTTTTGAACAATACCTTGTACTTGGTCCTTACTCTGGTTATTAATATTACCGTTTCTTTGGAGCGTTATAAACCTAACATTTGTGTAGTGCACTGTTTTTTATTATTAGTTAATTAAATAAAACTAAACTAATAAATTACTTTACTGGTTACACACCATTATAAATTCTCAAATTTTATTAATTTTATTTACCTCAGATGCGGAGCTGAGAAGGTATTTGTTTTAAAAGTTAATATGTGAATTTTGTAGCCATTTATATTTATAACAAACTACTTTGTTTATATTCAATAGCCCAACTCTACACATGGCCGTTGATTTCGTTTAATTATTTAAATTTCCATTAAAGACAGGGTTATGCGTACCCTGGGTTTTAATTTAGAAGTCTGTTCTTTATAAAAAAAACGAGAAATGAACTGTTTAATTTTTAATATTCTTGAAACCACCTAGCGGGTGGTACACCTAAAGCTACATCCGTAGTTGTATGAGATGTTAATTTAAACTTAAATTAACCATTTTCATAATAACCTTAAGCGAAGTAATAAAAAACCTTTCTGGATAGTTAAGAAAATAAAAAATACCTTTCAACGAATTAAAACAAATACAATGTTAACTGTTGGGTTACAATAATAATATCTACTCTGCATTATTTAATTAATACTTGAATAGCATACGGTGTATTTTTGACTTGGCACGTCTCATTGTATACTTAATATTTAAGTATTGTTATAAAAGTGGAAATGTGTTGATTAATTAATAATTCTCAAGGTATCTCTTCGAGAGTGAGCGGCGTTTATAAATCTATAAAGCTAACAAGCGCAAAAACAAAATATTATGAAAACGCTATTTTTGTTTTTATTTATCTGAAAGCAAACACAATATTTTTACAACGGTGTTTATTTTCCACGGGGAAATAGAAAAAAAATACATGACGGCTAAATGGTTTATGGAACGTCAGTGTTTTTCAGTAACATCCATATGTATTATCAGCGAATCGACAATGAAATGTACTATTGCGTTATCATCAGCAGGCAAAAATGCAACGACGACCCATCGTTTATGGCAAATGTAGTCTAATGGAAATTAACGACGTTAAATTATAATATTGTTATCAGTATTACAAGAAAAGTAGCTACATTACAGGGTGATTCATTCAACGTAAGACACTAAGTTTCTCTTAAAATGACTAGGTCGTGTATGGAGAGCTAAGGGACAATAGACCTAGAACCAGATGGAAAGACTCTGCGATGAAAGATCTTTTGAAGGTACAGGAAAGAGCTCAATACATACCATTTTCATAATTTCCAGATTTAAGTTTCAACTTTACAAACTTAAACAGTAACGTATATATTTAATTACTTTTTTAAATTAAGAATAATATACTAATAATGTTGACCCGTCAAAACTTCTTTCTTGATCATTTTAAACTTATTTAAGTTTCAAATTTAGGACGGGGCGAGAGTGTAGTATACAGACTACAGACATCTCCCTCCTAAATGTTAAACTTTAATAACTTTGAAAGTAACTATCTAAAACTTGTCAAAATCGACTAGTCAAAATGTTCAGCAATTATTTTTAATTAAAAAAGTTAATTTTGAAGGATGATAATAGTTACGTAACGAGTAGAAAAATTGAATTTTTCTCTAATACTTTAGTCTATTGCCTGTTTAGGTCGGTTGGGCAACTCTTGCTCTAGAAGAGACAAGAATTTCCATATGCTGGCGAAGTGGAACATTGACTTAAGTGTGTCTAAAAAGAAAAACTACAAAATGGCAATATTATTTTAAGAGAAATATGTCGAGTTTCTTATTCTCACTGAATCACTCTGTACAGTAATGTTTTGTAAGGATAGCGTTTTACCAATGTAAATTAGGTCAGAAAAAAACACTGGCATAAACGATTAGGTTGTATCGCGCGTCCGGTCTCTGTTTTTTTTTCTGTGTTTTTTTTGTTATCTAAGTATATATTTTGTCGTTGCAAACCAGTCAAGGGACGCCGTTATTGTGTGGCAACCGAATGCAATGGGTTGCCTTTTGGAAAATATAATATTATTTTCTCCAAAAGTCGCGCTCACGGTGTCGGGTTAGTCATCGGCCCGGTTTAACGTGGTGCGTTCACACGACCGGCGTGTACACAAATAAATTAACGCATTTGAACAAACAAACGCCGTTTGTTATTTTGTTACTTCTTTTTTTTTTTTTTGTTCTGGTTCTCTCGCTAAATGCACACGTGTAATGCAATTTAATAATAATATTATACGACACGACCGGCGGCACCATCCGTGTTAGTAACGCGGTTATGCTGGTACCCGTCGATCGACGACCGTATCTCTTTGGCAGCCAAAACTGACTTTGTATTCACCTGCTCGACGACACTGTGGAATTATCATATTTTACAACCGACCATGTTGAGTACGCCCAACCCCGGGCCCGGCTTTGATATTTTCTCCACGGTACAGCCGGTCGTGCGACGCGTCCAGCCCGTGGACGAAGACCGGTCGCTGCCCGGACCGGACCTGCGACCGAGCACATGCGGCGGTACGTTCCACGTGATGCCCGCCGAAGTCCGCCCTCCTCAGCCGGGGATCATGTGCCCGTCAAAATCGGTAAGTCATGTATATGCATGTGTCGTTTATTAATTTTTTTGGGAGAGGGGGTGTCATAAAAAAACCAGCATAATCTAAACCAAGCAAATTCCAAACCATCTAAACTAAAATTTAGTCCCATTACCAGAAATTACTAAGAAAATTATTATTTTTTCTAAAAAGGGTCTAAGTCCACTATACTTAAATGCTAATAATCTGGACCGCATTTGAAAATAATAACACTGTTTTACAGAATGTAATTTTACTGTTTAATATCAATTTAAGTTTGATAGAGCCCTTATATGTTTGTGTATTTTGAAACATATCTAATGTTTTTTTAATTTTCCCAAATGTTCAAAGTTAAGTACTAAGGCCCTTATTGCATGAAGCGATTCAAATGATAACAGCACAAAGCAGCAACGGTATGAAATAAGGTAGCCAACGCTACCAACAGCGACGTTAAATGTTTTTCTACAATACCAAACTGGTGTACCTGAAATTGACTTTGTCACTGTAAAACTAACACCTTCTCAGCCTAACCTAACCTTTTTTCACATGCATCCATTGCTTCCCGCAATAGTTAGCCTAACTTAACCTAACCTAACCTATCACGACGAAGCCAAAAGTCTGGACTTTACTCTAAGAGGTTTGAAAATAGGTTAAAGGTTTTTTGTTTTCGGCATCAGCTGTTTAAATTTGACTTCTTACTTGGGCGGTTTAAAACTTTTTTTTATTACTCCATTTTTTAAAAAACTTGATCAACCTAATTTATACCTAATAAATTTAACAACAGTTTCGATTTGACCCGACCGCTATTCGCGACCATACAGGGTGTTTCAGATTAAGACACCGGTTTTGTCTTAAAATAATTGTAATTTTGTAGTTTTTCTTGTTGGAGTCTTTGTTATTTTACAATATCAATAAAATATTTTATTACATTGTACTCACCGGACACCCAACCAAAATGTCTGCAAAAATATAATAGGTTTACCAATGGACAAGTTGTCATTATTTTTTTACCTATTGTAATTAACATTATTGACAAAATGGGCTGTGGAAGATCAATATATGCTTAAAGTCATTTCCAGATGTCAGAAACACAATTTCAAAGTTTACTCAATTTGGACGATTTTTCCAAACAAATCATCCAAAGTGTACCGTTTATAACCGATTTAAGGCGTTGAACGTTTATTGGACACCAACTATGGCGAGTTCTTGAGTTGCTCTCCTTCTCATTTATATATTGAATTTAAGCACTTTGCCCGATTCGTAAATGTCGAGCCAAACAAACATTAAACGTGACTTCAACACAAATAGAAAAAAAACCATACAACTAAAAGTAATAAATTTACTTTCAAATAAACACTTTAATGTGAATCTTTTGATGGTAGAAAAATAAAAATAGCATTGTAAAGACAATCGTTTGTGAAATTGTAATGGTAAATGGTGGACACGATTAGAGTTGATAGTTTTTCTATGATAATTGGTTGCCTTTATTTTTAAAAGGCAAATCAATAATGATTTTTTTTCTGGTACCTATTGACAGGTTCAATTCATTCATTTAATTTTTCCTTGATAAAAAAACCTTTTTGATCTATCTTAAACTACACTGCAATTTCAAGTTAAACTGTCGAAAATTGCTAAAAGAGAAACAGTTTTTTTTATTATACATACCCTATCAAGTATAGTACATTTTTAACTTATCTCGCAGCCTTGGGATCGTTATTGTCGTCGTTGACTAGTTCCCAGGTGCTATAAACAGTTTCATTATGTTGTGTGGACAAAACAGTTTATATTTGGCAAACCTATTATTGTTGTGTGTATACTTAACAACAACAACAAGCAGCTTAAGTCTCGACTTTGTTAAGTACTATTTTATGCGATGTAATTATATTAACCCGGGTAAAACCTTAATAAAAAGACATGATTATTTTTATTTCATCGATTTAATCACTTAAAATTATTAATTTTTAGCTTTATGTTTGATTAAAAAAAATTACTTTTAAGGTTTTATTAGCTTATTATATAAATTAAATGTACTTAATTTGTATCAATACGTACAAAAGTGTATTAAAATAATTATTATTACATTACTAAATAACGTTTAACTGTTATTTTTTTTTATCGAGGTTACATTTGTAGCATTATGTATATTCATATTGTACATATATAAATGATTAACTTAATAAACATTTTGATTTTCAAAGGAAATCACTCATTCTTTAGAACGTTGTCGAACGGCAGGGCTAAAGAAAAATATTATACCGAATAAAAATATATTTGTGGTAAAAAATAACCTTAATACTCTCTATAAGTGGGTGGCGGTGAGCATTGAATCAAACTATCAGTTTTCAGTTCAGAACCTGACATTATCCAATTACTGTTATCTGTTTGTCTGGGGGGTTGTACCTATACAAATGACAGGCTTGAATGCTAACGATGTAACGACCGGTAACCGTACGATAGGAAAATATAATGAGGTCAGACCGTCAGGCTTCCGGCACTTTATAGTACACGGTGATTGATTTAACCGTTACCCTGTCAATATTTCATAAGATTTTAGACTTTTTAAAATAATCTTTTTTTATACATTTATAGTTAATAGTTGGCCCAACTGGTATATTTTTCAAAAATATAACCCCATTCCTTATGTGTCAAAAACTTTTAAAATTGAGCTTTGTAAATGGTAACGTATATGTCTGTAGTATTATTTAACATATTAACCGGATTATAGTTAGCCAATAAGCTAAAAATACGCAGCTTCGACCTAACCTGCAAAGCTGAGAAGGTATTTTGTTATGGTTTTAAATAGGTTTTTTTTAGATAGTAACGGTAGTTGATTAAACTAATTATTTGTCCGTATCTAACATCAGTGTTCAACAAAAGCTTTCCTGTTGGAAACACAATGCATTTGCCTGTACCTGTAAATACTGACGTTAATTGTTAACTAGTTTTTATTAACATTGTTCGCTGTCGAATTGTAGCTGTCAGCCGATGACGATTTATTAATATTTAATTGCTGATTGACGCGTCGAACGCTTGTATTAAAATAATTAAACTCCTGAAAAATTATCCACAATAATATTGCGTTGAAATAACTTTTAACGCCTTATTCGATTTTGCTTGAATTGACTATTTGTAGAAAAATATTGTAGCCCTTAAAATACAAAGACCTGTAGCTGTACAATTCGGATGGTAAATGTAATTTTAAAGCGGTAAACCTACTTGACGTTCGTTTGACTTACAAGAATTCCAGAAGAGCTGTGTACCTGTAGCCATTCAATTTGGTATATTATTTAAGCATTTGGGAGTATAATGTACATTTCTTTACCTTTTTTTTTTTGTAAATAATTGAGCGACGAAATTCCAAAGCGTACCTACCTTTTATAAAATTGCCATTTTATACTTTTATCAGCAAAGGCCATTTTCAATACTGTTCAATAATGAACCATAAGGGTATGAACCAATTTGGATTCCGACTATGGAGTTGTGTTGAGTTAGTACATTGAAAACCACCTGCAGATCGTCTGCAAAGTTTACTCGTATAACTTTAAAACTTGGATTATATAAGTTCACAGCGACAGCGTTGCCTTCTAGATCGTTAGCGCTACAGGTAAACCATTTAAACGAATGCATTACTTCTTCTCCCTTGCCCTAAACTTCCAACAGGTATTTGAAACAATTTGTTTTATTTTGTTAATTACATTATATGGGTATCAACAACCACAAATTATTAATAGACAGACACAATATTGTATCCATCCTAACTTACCTGACCTATCCTTTATATTTATTTAACTATTTAGATTAAGAATATGAAAATGTCTACTGGTCGATAATCATTTATGAATAATTTATCCTATTATCCTTAAAGTTTTTAGGGATTAAAATTTGGGACGGTTTGTGTAAAGTTTCTATTTAGTCTTATTCTATTTATCAAAGTAACGAAATTCAATTTTACGTATGTGCCTAGAAATTATCAATTGAAACTAAACGAACGCTTAACCTAACCTAACACATAACACTGTTTTATTTATTTTGTTAATTCACGCGACATTTACGGTTTGTTGTAGATCTCAATGAAGAATGTCATTTCCGATATCCCGCCTGACATTGGCCATTTCAATAGGAGTTGCAGCCAAAAAAGACATTCCGTCACTGACTTGGTAGATCAGCTTCTGGTGGATATTTACAAAATGGCACATTCCGGCAGCGTGTGTTCTGCTGAATCATCTACTGAACAGACAAATTGGCCAGATCACACCAACAGATTTGCTATAACGAGTACTTGGTCTAAGAGATTGTACAGAAAAAGTTAGCACTGATAACATTTTTGTATTAACAGTATACGCAGGTTGCTCGGTTTAATTTTACCCAGGCAATATCTTAAAATATATTGGACTTCTTTATATTATTTAAGTTTATACAAAACTATACTTTATTGGTTAGACTAGTTTAGATTAAAACAAATAGGTTAGACTCCAATCTATTTTTGTGACGCTTAGGTTAGGTAGTAACGAAAAGAACAATTTGATTTATAAAAACTATGTGTCAGGAATTTTTTTATTTGATTCCATAATACTGTCGTTTACCTATAACTTGACCTGAAATTATATTATTTCAAGCGTTTGTTTATTTATCGTAACAGAACAAAGACAAGAAGCATTAAAAAAAAAATTATTTGAATGTCTCGCTGGATATGTCTTATGAGAGTGACACGTAATTGATAGTTTTTGGCAATAAATTGTCTTCAAAAAAAATTATTCGACGTACCATTCTTGTCAACATAACTATTTATTATTAATCCAGACATATTCGACTGGAGGTCGAACCCATGGGCCACGTTATTTATACATACTTGTCTGAATAATTCAATGCACAAAACTGTAGTAAAAAAAAAAAATTCCATGAAAAACACTGTTGAGTTAAGGCTAAGAATGATTGGACTTACGGCATTGCTGCTACGTGTGGATCTCTTAATGGTTCTTGGTAAGATTTTTCTTCAATTGGTTTTCCTAATCGAATAGAAAAAAGGGCGATTGGGCTTAAACGATAATCCTATTGGGCTGTATCGAGCTCTCTGCGAAATTGTATGTGCATAAAAATATTATTACAAATGGTGGGTTGTATGCCTGGAACTCAAATGAATACCACTTGATTAATTTGCCGGGCGTGCCAAGCGGGATACGACTGGATGAGTTGTCTGATTCGTGATAAATGTCACAAAATACCGATTGATGATTCCGTCATGTGTGATGTTATTGTCTGAACAATGGATAACGTTGAGAAATGGAAAACGGGTCTAAATAGACGGCCGGCGGCAAATTGATGGTCTTTTACTTTGGTGTCACAACAGGATTGATAGGAGCAAATGTTAAATGTCTTGTTTCTCACTCCAGTACAGCCTAAACCGAGCAAAGTACCGAATTACTATTTTTAACGGCCTATTGTTGACATCTAAAGTATGTTTATTGACCAATGTGCTGCGCGTCGAAGCGAAAATTCAAATAACCTGATATCCGTTCCTCAATAAAATAGGGGTTTTATTTTTTTTTTTTTTTAGGTTTGGAAGAACTAGTCACGGCTATCGAGTTGCTCAAAGATCAATTAACCGTATGCTGTGATTCACTGGTGAAAGCGTTAAAACGGAGAGATGCTCTTATCGCCCGCAGGGACGCCAAGTGCAACATGATCACGGCCTTGCTCCACGCGTACTCGATGAAACGAAGTGAGTCTATATAAAGTACATTGTAGGATAATCAAATTAAGGAGGCACTGAGTGAAACATGACCCAAAGAATATCACCATACAGGGTGATCACTTTAACGTATGACATCAAATTATCATACTCAAATGTACAAATTTAGTAGCCACAAGGATCCCGTACGCCTTATTTTTAAGCTCTACAATGAACCGTAATTACATATCTAGCTGGTCGTCAGTTTTGTTTGCAAACTATAAGGAGGGGAGACAATTAAAATATAGGTTTTCAGCATGTGCGTGTTAAACCAGAGACTATCTTTTGCAAATTGCAATAATATATTTTCTGGAACACACGTATCCAATTTCCAATGATTGAACAATTTAAAATAAACGTTCGTGTTGTAGCATTACAACCGCTCATCCTATAATATATTTGTTCAGACCGCATTTTTTATTTTAACGTTTCCAAAAAAAAAAAATAATTTTGTGTATTAGAAGTTTTTTGTTTACATTTTTTAAATAATTTTTACTAAAATTACCTGATCTAATAAATACTCAACGTGTTTTACTTAATATGTACTACCTCTGCCTTGTAATCGAGTTGTACATAGCAAACAATATGATCACTTTATACAAATTCAGATTTTTCAGAATTTAAAAAAATCTCACGCCCAAATGAATTTATTATCTTGTTTTAAAAGCGACAAAATAATGGGTTTTCTCAAGTACATGTTTCGGTACTCGTGCCGGTCTATTGAGTGAATCTTTTGGTCTTAGACTAGATGTTTTTTTTTTTTTACAAAATTGTATTTCAATTGTGACGGCTTCTTAGCCGAAGCATTGCAAAATCAATGCGGGTTTATTCGAGTGGTTTCGGCAAGCTAGGGTTTTATCAAGTGTCAAACCCAGACACTCGAGTACGATTTATTTCCAGAAACATACACAAACTTTCAAAGCTGAAAATCTCCAATAGGTAAACGTACTTAGGTACGTTCGCATAAGACGACAATGGTAGAACGGATTTATTATAATCCCGACTTTGTTCTGTTTATATTATTATGTTTGCACTAACATTCACGGGGTCTATATAACTATTATACCGCCCACGTAACACTACCATTATTGCAGATGTTGTTATTTTGCGTTCAAAATAATAATCATTAGAATACGTAAATTTTACAAATATTTGGCGCAGTCAATCTTTAGAATTTTACAACCAATGGCACCACATTAGCGCTTCGCTGATGTGTTTAAGTAGCTTTAAAAGTAAATAGGTATTCGAAACGGGTTATCCGCCAGTCAAAATGTTTGCTAAACTATTCTTAATTTATAAAATTAAATAAACACATACACGTTATCATTGAAGTTTGAAAGTTGATATAACTCTTAAGATACACCAACAGTTATGAAAATTTTAATATTTTCAAGTAGTGTAGAAATGATATTAACTAAAGTGTCTCCAGAAAGAATAACCAAACAGTTGTATTTTTGTTCAGAGAAAATGCGTGTCTCACGTTAAATGGACCACCCTGTATTTATCGAACGGCAATTGCAGCTTAGTTTATACAATCACCAATAGTGTGTGTGTGCCCTGGTTTCAATACTGCGGGTGGCTCTATTGTTTGGTTCATGCATTAGCAAATTGTGTCTGTTTACCGATTTCCTCTGCGTTGTGTTCACCTATTTAAGTATACTTACATTAGAGACTTATAATGGAATTAAATGTTACATGCACAACCGGAAAACCAGTCTGTTAGACTAGTAAAAATCTTCCATACAAACAAATGGATATTATTCAAACAAATGTAATTTCAGCTACAATCGAAAAAACGTTTTCTACAATATGAATGATTTAACAATTTGACACTCAAATAAAAACAAAAATATATAGTACTGCCCATTTCCGATAACGGCTGGATACATCTTAGTTGGAGGTACTTCGGTGTGTTGTGTAATAATGGATACAACCATAAAAAACAAGAGCAATGCAATAGAAAATGCAATCATCCCAAATGCCAATTATTAAAGTCAGCAGAGTTCTACAATAACACGCACAAGATTGTTGTTTTCAAGTTGCGTTAACTATTTATACACTTTACTATAATAATTCATCAACAAGAAGGTTTCTGCGGTACCGAAAATCCAGTTTAGCACTATTGTAATCAAGTTATTTTTCATCGCCCCCGCTAGTATATAGGGTCATGATAAAGAACCTTTTCCATCAAATTTGATTGCCTACCGATAGAGATAAATGATGACGGTTTCTATAGTAGATCCGCCTTAATGACCAGAACAACTTCGGATGTCAATCGATCAATCGTGTTTATGCGTCGAGCTTGGCTAATGTTATACAGGATGATTCATTAAGAATAATACGCTATAGTTTTGTCTTAAAAAAATTCCAATTTTGTAGTTTTTCTCTTTGGGAGACGCTGTAGTTTATTTTACATTGTTCAAATTTGTATCTTTTTTATTTTTTTCCAGAGATCTATCAAATCTATCAATCTTAAATGGTAACGTATATATTTAACAATTTTTTCTTTAAACTAAGAATAATTTGATGAATGTTTTTTTCACTGGTCGATTACTAGTTTTGAATAATTATGTTTTAAGTGTTGCCGGTTGACAATATTTAATACATTTATTATATGAAAAATTATCCACAGTAATAATGCGGTTAAATAAATTTGAAATTTAATTCCTCTGATGTTGCTTACACCATCTCACTGTGCAAGAGTTATAGCTTTGAAATTAATATTAAAAAAGTAATTATTTGAAACTGGTCGTTGACCAGTCAACATTTTCGGCAAACTATTGTTATTTTAAATGTTAAATAAATATATACATGTTACCATTTAAGTCGGTAGAGCTCCAGAAAATAGCGAAAAGATAAATATTTGGTAATTTTGAAAATATTGTACAATAACATAAATCAACAACTTTGTTAAACCCAGTTGCCGAACAATTAACATTTGAAGGGCACAAGGGAAGAGGGGTAGTAGTCCATTTATGAACATTTTTTTTCAAATAGTTTTTTTCAATATGAGCCATTATTTTTTTTTTTTACCTATGTCAATAGATTGTTTAAGCAAATATATTTTTTTTATTAGAATAGCGCTTAATGTGATTTTTTTTTTGTTCTCATGTAAGAGGGACGACTTTGTTTTTAGCTATACTCTAAAATTGTCACACACGGACTACTACCGTTGATTTCTCGGTGCCGTTGTGTTGTGTTGATGGTGAAAGGACACCCAAAGTACAATACCAAAGTGGTAGTCCTTTTCCATTATGTGCGCTTATCATAATCTAGGCCCGGCGACTTGGCGGCGGCGGCGGCGGTATAATATAATGTTTGATGTAGATTATAGGGTCGCATACAGGGTAGCACGTGCACTCAGAGGGGGTTGCTGTCGGTGGTCGATAAACCCGTAACGCGCATGTGGAAATTAAACGGCACCTACGTTACACGTCTGTAGTAAGTTGCATTGTTCATTCAACTTTCGTCCAGTTTGAATTCTAGACCTGAGCTGTCAGCGTCGATAAATTTACACAATACCGTTTAAAATATCGACATATTTTTTTTTCCGTTCGTTCGTTTGTTTGTTTGTTTGTCAAACGCATCTGGACCGCCGCCGGGTGATGTGGACGTGATGAATGGCTTGCTCAACACTTTAAAAAATATCGCCAACCTCAGTGAGTACGGTATTTACATAATGATATATTTTCTACTTAAAACAACAGTTGCTGTTCCATAGACAACATCAATCATAGCCGCAATTATAAATTTTCCTGCCCCCTCACTATGCTTATCTCTCATCTGATAATTATAATTTAACGGCTATCTTTTTTTTTGTTAACCAGCATTTTAAATATTTAATTAATATTAATCGTTTACCGTCTGTACAGTAAAAACATAAAAAATGGTTACTGATTAGGGTAAACTGTTAAGAAGATTTGTTAACTACATTGTCATAGTATATACTCATCGTCATACTAGTATTTTCTACTTCTATGTTCATAATTGTCAATGAATTCAACCTTTTTTCTTTGGTACTAGATCTTAAATATAGTATCAACCTATTTAATGTCGTTGTAAGGATAAATGTCGAAAAAATGTTTTTCACTTAAAAAAACAGACATTTTTTATATACTTCATAGTATACTTTCGGTGTTATCTAATTTTAAGAACTAAACAGTTTTTTAAATTTATGGTTTTATTAGGAAATGATTTTCTAAAATTGTCTGGAAACTTGTTTTGAAGTATTTCTGCATTTGTTTTTACCTTAGCCTCTGGCATGGTACTTAATTGAAGGAAAAAGTATATTTTTCGAATATATAATTAAATAAGATTGTCTCCAAAAGTAGGTATACATGCGGGAAGACAAAATGTCTTATTTAGTATTACATAAGATACTTTAATATTATAATGACAATTTTAAATGTATGCTGTACGAACTTTCGTTGAAATTTAAATGAACTAATAGACTTTTAGAGGTTACTTAAACATTTAAGTAGTCCATTAAAATGTAATGAACCATTAAGTTTGTTAGTTTAATTGTGCTACCCGTCGTATAACATAACAAAGGGCGAAAATGTATCTTTAGTTTACAATCACACATCAATATTTATAAATCATTATTTAACTGAATTCTCATTTTATTTTTACTTGAAAGTTATAGTTAGTTCTATTAAATTGTAATTTTGTTTTAAGAAGTCAAAGATTTAAAAAGGGTTTAGTAGTAAACAAAAAAAAAAACAGTTTTACGTTTCTGTTTGAACAACGTGAAACAGTGTTGTTTGATGTTATATATTTTTCATTTGTTCAATGAGCAACATGGATATGATGTAATTATCGAAAACTTTGTTTCTACAAGAAACTTCACCGTGTTGATCGAAAAAAGTTTCGTATCCGGAAGACCGGAAGTAATAAGACTAATGACTATAAATAGTTATTTACAGATTAAATATACTACCTAGTAATTTTAAGCTGGGATTTTTTTTTACCCTCCTCGTCGCTTTTATTATTACTTCTTTATGTTGTTCAGCTGTTATAACTGGAATCTTAAGATTGGAACAACAACGATCCGAAGTTGTGTCTTTTATCTATGAAAATAACACCATCTTGTTTTTGTCAATATATTTCTACTATACCCTTTTTCCAAGAACACTATCTTAAGTCCGGTTTTTTATTACTCCTATCAAAACTTTTAGTCATTAATAATTTCAAAGTTATTTGTAGAAAAAACAAACTCGTATACATAGTAATAATTTATTAATTTATTGATGGAACGAGGTGGTGACTGAGGTCAGATTACAACCGTGTTGGTAGACTTTTGATGTGACGACAACGAAACTCAAGTGGGTTGAATAATATTTTATCAATTTTATTTTTCTTTACAAACCAGAAATGTTTATAATAGAAAATTATTCCGTCAGTTTCGAATAGACAACCCTTTTACAAGACCGACTCGTTAAACCCACACAATGTGCTAAATTAAACGTCCCAGTTGTTGTTATTTTCCATGATCGGTGGCATAATAACATTACTGCGATGACTTGTGCGGATACCGTTGTAGTTTATCAGAGTGGCATTGTGTATTATGTTATAATATAATAAGCTCACTCTAGAAAATAATATAATTTATAATGTCGCATTTGCCCAAGGCGATTTGTCCAAGCAACGTCACACTGTGAAACTTTAATAAAAACATATCATTGGCGAGTGGAAGCTGCGGCGATAACAATGTGACTGCTAAAAAACCGTGTGACAGTTTATTGAAACTAATAATGCTCCCTACCCTCTGTATGATATTACTGCACCTGTCTAATATCACTTGGGTAAAACGCTGTCTCAAATTTCATACGACCTACCGAGTAGATTATATTATAATAAAAACACCTACTCGTGTATTTTTTATTTTTTTATACTCGGCTCTGAGAAAAAAAACGAAAAAAAATGTGTCACCGACATCATCCATCTTCCCACAGGGTTTTCACGCCCCTTTTGAACCCAGTGGCGCCAAAAATATATACATATTTCACTAGTGTGACTGGGATGAAGGAATTTGACTGCTTAAAAATAAATGTGCACATTTTACTCATTGTTATAGTTTTAGAACAGAGAAGGTATTGTTTTTATTAATATAAAAAATGTCCACTCAATTTAAAAGTATTTAATAATATATAGTTGAAATTAGAAATTGTAGGAAACATTTCAGAAAATTAGTGGTTTCATAAGGCATAAAGTGATTTGAATTAGTAATCTTACCTCTCTCTACCTTTCAGTACGAGACCCTGTCTATATGTATTTAATATATTTTATTATGACAGCCCAATCATATTTTAACATATTTTAACTATTTTTAAACAGTTAAGCAATAGAATACAGACGGGTTTGATTAATGGAAGTTTTTAAAAGCTTAAGTTGTACGATAGGCTCTGCCCCTATTGAATATGACCCTTTTGACCGTTTACGAAAAGCTAATAACAACCTCTAAATCCAATTTAATTAAGAATTGTTCTCAGCCAACATTTTTGTTGATTACTTGTTTGAAACTGTGCTAGCAGTTGAAGTTCCTACACTATTATTTTCAGAAGGTTTATACCTTCTGAAAACTAGTAGAAGCAATATAATTATGATCAGTGGCGATTTACCTAAAAATTAACAAAAGCTAGTCTTTTTTTTCTAGTTATAACAAATAATATTGTTTTTTTTTGCCGAAGCGACGACACGCTTTTACATAAAATAACATAATTTATTTTTAGTAGTTCACTTTCTTTATCGGTTTGAAACTTTTATCAACTACTGTACTCATAAGACAAAGTATGAGTGTAACGAATATAATCCAATAAGCAGAGTTACATAAATAATATTACCTTACAGGTCGTTTTGTGGGAAACTTTAATAAGTGAAGCCATTAAATGTAACATATTCATAACACTGTTCTTTTGTTACACCTACAAAGTTTGGTATTGTAGTCATTGTGTGTAAAAGTTTGGACAAACGATTTATGCTTACTTTGTTTAGAGTATAATCATTTTTTGTCATAAAAAACTTGGTTCTTATTTTTTTAGTTTGAATTGAGCCCACGAGTCAATGGTAAAAAGAAAAGCATTGTTCGAACTTTGACTTTACCGAATGAAAACACAATACATAATAATAAACCTTACGGTATGATCTGCCAGTGGTAATGTAATTTTACTAAACGTATCTCTTTGCTCAGCGAAAACAAATATAATAAAAACCAATATACGACTAATGCAACCTTTACAATAATTTTGTCGCCTGAAATTCCATTTATATGTATATTTCCTATTGTTATTCTCAGCCCACGTATTTAAAGGTCGGTCACTTTGACCGGAAAGCCTTTTGCAAATACAACAAGTAATATTGACACTCTAAAAGGTTTTTACTTTGTTGACTCGGCAGGATTTAAACGTGGGCAGCAACGTAATATTAACGACAAACTAAAAACTTAAAATATAATTATTCAAAACTGGTAATCGACTAGCCAACATTTTCAGAAAATGATTCTTAATTTAAAAAGTTTAGGGTCGTATTCATAGTCGGTTCTTAAATCTTATCTTAAGTTACACTTTTAAAAGTAAAGCTTAATCATAAGTATTCATAAACAGGTTAAAATAATGCTTTTATAAGTTTTAAGTAAAAGTAATTCTTATGGACTACGTAAATCGAAAGCATAATCAAAACCTTGGTAAATGGTAACACTTGGTTACTACTTGTTATCACTATTGATTTCCATAGATTATCGATTAATTTTAATAATTTGTATTGATAAGAGGTTCAATTTAAGTGTTTATTAGGTAATATATTTTATTGATCGCGACTGGTACAAATTAATTAAATCCATAAAGTCAATAACTTCAATTTTGAATATGTATTAGTAGTTATGAAACGTTTTTTGATAATTTTCGAATTTGTGATAATAACTAAAAGCAATGCTTAAGGTTGGTCTCGACCAACCTTAAGAACATAGTATATATAAGTAATATATCTTTCTATCTCTAACATAAGCTTTCAGCTTAAAAGAGATAGATAATCATGTAAAATTTTTATGTACTGAAATTTTGTAAGTTTTGATGATTTTAATAAAAAAAAAAAAAATACTTTTTCTTTTCTTAATCCAAAGTCTCGTTTAAGTCATAAGTATAGCTTAAGCAATACTTAATCTTAAGCAAAGACTATGAATACATATTTAATAATGTAAACTAACATATAAACTAAAGTGTCTCCAAAATGGAAAAACTAAAAAATTGTAATTATCTTAATAGAAAATAAGTCTCCATTCTGTAAATAACAAGTGAATTAATTCGGGTTTACCGCGGATCATTTAAATTATTATCAAAATAATTTAGTTATTTGAATATTTTTATTTTACGTCTATTTCGTTACTAAAATATAATCAATACACTAAATATTGTTTTTTATGAATAATATGTAAAATGGACGTTATTGTTCATCACGCAGGTGAAGATACCAGAATGAGATTCAACGTGAAGCCTGGACCTGGGGATAGTGACTTTGAACAGTGGCAGAGTGCTATGAAAATGGTCGCCAGACTTCCGGATGGGGTACCTCACGAGTTCCGTAACACCGTAAGTTGAATTATTATCATCTGTAAAAAAATACAAGTTTACAAGAAAACTGAAAACGGTTAACTTTTTGCTAAGGTGTATATTTTTAAATAAACCAATAACTCTTGTTAGTATAACAGATATATCATACACCGATGTTTAAATAGTGGCAGGCAATTGTTTAGCTTTCACCAGAGAGATTTATAACCGCGGATATAATATAAGATACTTTTCATAGTACAGGGAAACCCGTTATGAGTATAAAACAAACAAAACTGTCTGTCAAGCTGACAACATAATTAATCATTGAGTAAAAAAATGCGTTTGAAGGATTGTGCGAAAACTCCACGCTAGAAAAATCCTACCGAGTTTTCGAATAGAACAAAAAAAATCGGTTCCTACTTTTTTAGTATAGAACAATTTTCTATAAAGTTTAAAAAAAACATAACAGGACTTTTGACATGATAAGGTTTTTACTAATGCACTCAACTATTTTACTCAATCCCCAGTTTATTTAAAAAAAGCCTGAATTTCTAGATTTCTAGCTTAGCATTTTCTTTACAAAAACGATAATACTGTAACAGTTTGTACTTGGATTTGATACCTAGTTGTGGCTCACACTGGCAGAAAAATACTTGGCATCAAGAAACGTAGAATGGCCAAAAGTGGAGCGTTTTTGCTTCAACGACTGCACAAATCCGGACGACGAAGAGCTTGGCGTCCAGATCGTGAAGGACTTACACCGGACCGGTTGTAGTCTGTTCTGTGGTTCTTCTGGTTTGGAAAACCAAGCTTTGCTCAAGCGGGTATTACTGGGCTTTGCCCGGTGGAACAAAGCTGTGGGTTACTGTCAGGGGTTCAACATGTTGGCCGCCCTAATATTGCAAGTGATGGAGAAAAACGAATCGGACGCTCTTAAGGTAAGTGTATCACAGAAGCTAACATTAGAGATTAAACACTATTGTTGATATCTTAATTTCTACAGGTAATGATTTATTTAATTGAAGGCGTACTACCAGAGGGTTACTTTGCCAATAACCTCCGAGGCCTGTCTGTAGATATGGCGGTCTTTCGAGATTTACTGAGGGTAAGACTTCAGAACCTCTCTCGGCATCTGGACAGACTGCAAAATGAATCAAAAGACTCAGGTAATGCGAACATATTATATCACCACGTTTGTACTTACAATAATCAGCCATCAGTGTGTGGAAATGCTTATTATTTAATTAGTTTCTTTGTTATTGAAGTCAATAATTATGATTAACACATTTTGTTGGTCTGAATGGACAATTTTTGAGATATGCTCAAAACAAAAGATAATGACTCATGATTTGCCTTGTTAATAAATGTACCAGCTCGTTGATGTGTAAATTGAAATAAATTTTACAGGCACCAGTTATGAGCCACCGCTAACCAACGTTTTCACTATGCAATGGTTCCTTACATTGTTCTGCAATTGTCTTCCTCAGCGTACAGTACTGCGAGTTTGGGATCTTATATTCCTCGAAGGAAGTACTGTCTTATTGAAAACGGCATTGGCCATGTGGGACGCCTTATCCGAGTAAGTTGAATACAACATAGAAGGCATTTTATGTAATTGGATAATTACTACTTTATTGGGACGAGTGAATTATGGACCTGAAAATTGAGAAAACGCACAAACATTTGTAGAATTACATAATTTTATGTAATCATGTTAGTCGTGTATTCTAAATATAAGCGCTTTTGATTTAATTATTGAAAAATTTGTTTTAAATATTGCTAATTATTTTTATTTTTCAGCCGAATAATGACTGTGACGAGTGCAGATGAGTTTTACAGCATTATGGCTGTTCTCACCCGGGAAATGCTCGAGTTCGGTTTAATGGACGCCAACAATCTTATAAGTGTTAGTATTGGTACTATTATTGATTATTTTACGAAAAGTGGTCATTTTCAATATTGGTAGTCAACTATATGGTTGGTTTAAACTTTAGAGGGAAATATACAAGGTTTAATATTTATAACTTGACAAAAGATTTGGGATCACACCTAAAATATGATGCCCTCAGTTTACTGTTGAGCGAATGGTATTTCTCCAAAAATCATTCTTTTGCAGACAGGTGTCACTTTTTTCAAACGGGATATAGTCCTAGGGACAATGGGGTGTGGGGAAATGGCGAATAATTAATACTCTAACACTTTAAATGGACAAGTTTTGAGACATCCTAAAAAAATGATAGAGGCACTTACGATTGGCTTTGGGCCACTTAACTTGTGAAATTATCCTAATATAGTATTGTTATTGGCTAATGTCTTTTATTATTTTTAGACAATAAGCACGATGAGCGAGCTGGTCGAAGTTAAAGAACTTCGGGAACGATACATGTACAACATCAACCCATGGGTTAGTCACATGGCAAAACGAGGATTGCGGTTGTTCTACAACGATTCCGATGTTGATGATACCGACAGTGACGAAGACACCGACAATAAATCAGCGGTGTCGTATACTTCAAATTACGAAGGAATGGACTGCGCTAAGAGAAGGGGTAGAGCACATAAGAAAACTCCCAAATTAAAAGACAACTAACTGATATTGATGGAAATGTTTTTAGATAGCAAAAACAGTCGAACCGCGAGGCGGCCAGTGCCGAGTTTGGAATCCGAGAGAGAGAAAGTCGCACTGGATATATCTTTGTTGAAAAAACAATACAGCAAACTCAAAGAACGTCAGAAGCAAGTGCAAGTCATTCTGACCGGTAAGAGTTCCAGTTGTCCTGTTACTGTAAATTGTAATTGATCATTTAAGTAAGAACGTTACTGATATATTTTAGCTGCTTGCAACGGACAAAATATTATTGGAACCGCCAACTCCTCGGCAATGAATCACCTACTGTTTGGCAAAACCGCTCTACGGTGTACGTCGATGGCACCCATACCGGGTTCTATACCGTTAAAGTTTATACAAGATGTTCAAAAACCTGAAGTGAAAAAAGGTAGATATTGTGGTGCAAGTCAAAGACGCGATTTACTCGATTTGGAATGTCATATTTTTCTTTTCTTTTTCCAGAGCCCAGGCACAAGAAGAAGCTCAGCGTGTCGTCGTCATCGTCTTCGTCTACCTCTACCGAGCTGTGTGACGACCCGGCGTCGGATAGCGAACCATCGGAGGCCAACGAATGTGATAGTAAAAATTGTGATGACAAAGATGAGCACGTGGACAACGAAAAGACTGACTGCGACGTTAGTTTGTCGGAAGTTCTGCGAGCTAACTCTGAGATTTTAAATAGGATTTGCAAAGTCGACGATGAGCATCCACAAGCTTCACTCGACCCGTCCAATAGCTCTTTGGAAGATCGACTGCCGGACCTTATAAGCGATATCGAACTCGTCCAAGAAGATGTCGGTGATGACTGTCCACATCTGAACCACTCAAAAGGCGAGTTGTCAGAGTTTACAAGTACTTCTGAAGACTCGGTGCAGCAGTGTCGCAACTTAACGTTGGAATGGTCCGAAAGCATAGTGGACAGCGAAGCTGAGGAATACAAACAATTAGAAAATGTCAAAAGTATAGGTGTGGCAAAAACCGAGGATTCCGAAGAGCCTGTGTGGAATTGTGGAAACGATAGCGAAGACGATATGAACGAATGTCGAGTCCCTCCAAAGCCGTTTCCCTCGAAAATCAGGCAACCCAAACAATTGAGCATCGAGTTGGGGCTTTATCCAAGCGAATCGTCTAACTGACTTCATCCAACTATAACAATCATTTGATTACTTCTGATTCTTAAAATATGTTAACTACTATTGTTTTTACAAAATTCAGTGATTTATGGTATTATTGTAATTATTATGGTCCGGATTGGCTGATTGGCAATCATTGCTAACGTTTTTGTGAGTCTATCGAGTGTTTAAAGCTCATGTGATATTTTTTTATTATATAATATTATTATTATTACAACTACAATAATGATTTTATGTACTGTTGTACGCGGCTTAAACTGTACCTTATTGTGTCGGGGGACAAAAACCTAAAATGTTATTTCTAAAATTATCTTTCGATTGAGCTTCACGTTTCTAATAATTGTTATATACTGAATGTTTGTTTTTTAATCTTTTCAGTGACATAAACATTTATTCTACGTTATCAATACAACGTCCTACTGTGTTTTAATTAATCGCTAGACCACCTGTAAACCGTATTTATTACAAGTAATAAACTGGTGGACATGGTCTTATCACAGTCATTGTCGACGGTTGTTCGTAGTTGACAATGCCAGTAAAATTAATTCACTTGATAAACAGTGGGAATCTAATCAAACGTTTTAGTGCTATCAAAACCACTAGGCCAATAATATAGTGTCTGGATTGATAATTGATTATAAAACGCTGAAATTGTCATCATTTTATTATTCACAAAAAATATTTTCTGATATGATATAATAGTAACATTGTGTTTTTTTTTAATTATATTATTTAAAAATTATTCGATTCTAAATTAATATTTTCTTATTTTATTTTTATTAAATAAATATTATTGAATTCGGTGTCAATACCAAATCGGCTTACTCATTTGTTTTATCCGATTGTGCTAAATTATACTTAAAATTGTTGTTTTCTCTTTGTATTTCTCTTAAATGTAATGCCTTTCTATAATATGACCTAACCAAACCTAACTTTCATGTTAACTCCTATATTTTACTGCGTTAATAAATTAAGTATTTTCATTAGCCAGTTTTAATAATTATTTTAGTGTTTTACCTAACCTATTATTTTTGACTGCGCACATTATTCAACCTAACCTAATCTCACTGCTTCTATTTAAACTTTAATAAGTCTAAAATGAATTATTCAAAACTGGTTATTGATCAGTCAAAATGTTCAGTAAATCATTCTAAACTTATTATCTCAATAAAACCACGTTTAATATTAATTTATCAGTTATTATATTGGAATTAACATTTTTCATTTATCCAAGAGTTACTGAAATGGATAAAATCTCATTGGACACCATGTATGTAGTACAACATCAATAGGGTAATTCATTTGGTAGAGACAGCGATGGCTCTTAATAGACAGTATAAGCTTCCTACAATATAATAAAACTCATTCATGTCTACAGTTTACTGAAGTGGGCTGAACTGTTTTCATCATGGTGTGTTGAGTTTAGAATGCGAACACATTTTTTCCAATGTGACAGAATTTGACTAATCATTCAACGATTTTATTGCAGTTATAAACCCTACCTAAAAGTCTTTATTTTTACAATTTAGAGTCTCTCAGCGAAGAGAGTTAATTTGACTGCGATTCGATCTCACGTCCTTTGTATATTTGTATATTTTTTTTCATTTTTTTTACCAGCAAAAATGTTCAGAAGATTACCGAAGCGTTTACCTGTTTAATATTTTGACTATGAATAGATAACGTTATACCACTAGGTATTAGCATTAAGTATACATTTTACAGTACAATCTATACTTAATTAGGTACACATCATCTGTTATGATTCGGCTAGACAGCTTCTCCCCGGCCGGCACGTAGTACTGCAACAAAAACATAATGTGACCTTCACATGGTCCGGTGGTGCGATAAAACAATGGTGATATAATCACGGCGCCGCTGGCGAACACATGGTACGGCGCACGACTGACGGCACGTGTACGACACCGTGGCCGCCGGCCACGTTCTACCCGCCGCAAACGCCCCCCGTGCCGCCGGATCCCGAGGGTTTTCCCGCAGAATACGGAAATCCCGAAATCTTAATGGAAACTTTTCGGCAAGTCCCTGACCGCCGCCAAGCCTTATTTGCAAACGTAGCGCCGGTTCCGAGGCCAACGACGGTCACTTAAAGAAAGAAAAAATCGTAGATCCTTTGCGCGCGCACTGGGTGTGAACGCTCCTCGCCTATCGCGCCCAAACTCTACTGCACAACCGCTGTTATCAACGGCAATAGTAATAATATCATAGTACATAAATTGGTGTACACACATTTTATTAGCAGTAGATGCGGCCGGTCGTTATCGCAGTACGCACGTATATAGTAATATTTTACCATCGCAGTGCAATCGTTTTTGCCCCAATAAGTATACCCAAATCGCGTGACGTCGCCCATCAGGGTGCGACAGTCATGGATCCGTGGCAAGCGTCCAGGCATCAGCCATCAGCGCCAGAATATGAAAGGTAATACCAGTTATAAAAAAAAAACAAAAAAAATACTATGTTTACAGTGTAGATAGGATATAATATACACACTTGATGGTTCATTAAGGATAAGACACTAATTTCATCTCAAAATAATTGCAATTTTGTAGCTGATATTTTTTTAGAACACACCGGAGTGTAATATGTTATTTTACAATATTGTAATTTTTATTTTTCATGAGCTCTATAAACTTTTAAAAGTCAAATGGCAGTACACATATTTAACTAAACATTTAAACTAAGAATATTTTGATTGATCGATTAGGAATTTTGGAAAACTACTTTTGGAGATGGTGTAATACTACATTCCACCCTGGTTGTCGACCAGTCGAAACGCTTAGAAACTTACTCTTGTGTTAGTTGAACACATAGTGGTTAAGTTTCAAAAGTTGACAGAGCTCTGGAAAATACTGAAAAAGATGAATATTCAATAATATTGTAAAATAACATCAACAAAAATGTTTCAAAAAGAAAAATTAGTAAATTGCGATTATTTTAAGAAAAAAATGAGTGTTTTATCATTAATGCATTCATGTAAACTTTACCTAACTAAAGTGTAGCCTTAGATAGTTCCTGAAGCTTTGGCCTGTGAATTTCCAAGGACTAAGAAGTATATTATAAAAAGAGTTTAGATAAACGCCACCCTCGACATTGACACGATCAATGATTAATTCGTTTCTTCGAATTAACAAAATGGATGTAACATAGCCAACTGCGAACAAATATCTAGACTAAAGCAGGTTTCTAATGATAGCGAATTATTTAATTTTTCCCTAATTAACTCTGAATTAAAATGTTTACAAGTAACACAACATAATGTTTAACGTCTTCACAGCTGTGGTGTAAAGCGATCAGTGGGGTTTTACTGATATTATGTTAAAAACATTAGAACACAGATAATGACGTATATGTTACTCATCGTCACGTTGTGTCGAACGTGTGATGTTGTTTAAACACTTGTCAGTGTGGCGGTAACACAATGTACAGTGCACGTATACAACATATAGTAATACAGGGTGATCGATTTCACTTAACATCTCTCTTAGGACAATTATTGCAATTTTATAAAATATGTCTACAACTAGAGCAACTGGCAAATTGTGAATTAGTTCCAAAGAAAATGGGTGTATTACTTAAATGGATCACCCTATGTAGTAATACTTATCAATATTATCATAATGCAATAATTTATCTTTTCATTCTATTTTTATAACAGCACGTCTCGTATCAAGCGATGTTTACTGTTATTAAACAACACAGTTTACCGGTCGAACAATTATTATTATGATCAACACTGATTAACTTAAATTTGGTCTTTACAAAAAAGGTGTATGTCCGTAGGAACTTATTTAAAGTTTTCTACTACATTACATTTAGCGAAAATTATTATTTAGCCAAGTTTTTAAATGATATTACTGGTTGACAAACGAAACAATTTTTATCTTATCTGAAAAATTACAAAAGTGTATTTATAGTATAGTGTAGTATAAATACTAGCTAGGTACTTATTGATGCAGTATAAATATATTGTGGCGTACATGCTATATTTATTGATGCAATTGTCTTATTACAAAATAAGACATTTAGAAAACTATTGTACTATTTGAAAACTATGTAATAGAATAGCAATACTTTTTCCTTTATGTAAACATGAACAGTTCAGGAATTAGATTTTGTCGGGAGTCATTGTGTTAAGGAATCTAGAAAGGTAAAATAGTAGGCAACTAATAGAACTTGTATGTTATTATGGTTATAAATGTTAGCTTAGATACATTTGCTTCCAAATTGAATACACTTAATGGGTAAGGTATCTGGCCTAAAGTTGAAAAGTACACACCTTCAAAATCGATTCACTTAGAAAAACAAGAATTTCAAAATCTTAATTTGCGTTAATACACTGGGCACTACAACTGGCATATACATCTAACGCAATTCGCTCATTTACTTTCAAAGGTATCGTTAAGCCCTATCGAACCTAAAGAGTTTTCCACACAAATGGCGATTCTATTTTGGTTCATATGACAAACAAATAATATTTTAGTTACCATTGTCTACAAAATCTTATACTACTCAAGTTTCCTCGTTTTCTCTGCAGTCACGTGAAAAAACATGCGACTTTTACTTCTATACCGTCACATCAACAACACTAAATCGGTATCGTTGCAAAATTATATGCCCCATAAAAAAATCGGTTAACGACTAATACTTGTAAGTTTTAGTTGTGGAAACTCTTAGAATTCTAAACTTAATTAAAGGTGGAGATGTCGTGATTACATCACATTGACATTTATCATTTGCCTTGACTATTGTTACAATTAATTACCTACATAATAGTACACATAATAGTTGTATAATATGTACAGGGTGATTCGTCGAACGTAAGACACTAGTTTTCTGGGAAAATAATAATTATTAACATAAACAATGTTGTTGTATAAAATTAGAAAATCGATTTTAGAACTCAAATAGGAACGTGTGTGCTAAATTAACTTTTTAAAATAAGAATAATTTGCAGACGATAATATTATGACTGGTCGATAACCAGTTAAAGATCAGTTAACCTTAATTAAAGTTTCTTAGTATTAAGAAGGGTAAATAAGTGTCGTCCAAAACTGGTCAAAATTGGATTATTCATCAAATGATGTTCAGGCAAAAGTAGGTATTTACTTACCTACTTTCTGATCATATCGTTGCATAGATCATTCTAGAAGATGGATTACAATGGTTGTAGCGTTCGATATACATAATATGATTATGTAATAATTCGCGTCTGAACACTTCTTTTATATGTCACCACCTTTTTGTTCAAAACTCATGTTTCTCGTGTTCCACGTGATTTCAGTCACATTGCTAATATTTTGTTTTTCGCAAAATATAATTATATAATTGGTTTGCACAATGTATGTGGATATGTAACAAGGAAAATCATTGCACAGATAGGCGGGTAATGTCTCTCTTTCGGCTTCACTTCGTACACGTGGTGACAAATCACGTGGTTAATTATTGTTGTGAGTGTCGTTTGGAAAAATATCAAAATTTTGGCGAACTTATATATACATATATGTAAGTTATATATATATATATATATTATTTATTATCAGAACTAGAACAACTTAAAGCACTTTAAATCGTCAAATTAAATAATATTTTTATATAAAATATATTATTATATCAGAATTATCATTTTAATTTTGCTCTACTTTAAAAAAGTATTTAAACGTAATAATAATAATTGTATTCTAAATATATTACAGGGGCTTAAACTTAAGTGCAAGCGGTATGAGTCAAAGCGAAGACGACGACTGTGGCTTGTTTAACAACAGAAAAAAATTATCTAGGGTAAGTAAAAAACGTTTTTTAAATTGAACAATGTGTTATGTATGATTTTATCATACAGTGCTTTGATAAATTAATTATTAATTATATCATAATATGTAAATA